GTCTTTCGGACGCGAAGTCGAGCCGCGATTCGACGAAACGGTCGCCGCCTTTGTTGCTCTCGAAGACTGTGGCGACGCCTTTGGTGGGCGTCGGGAGCGCCGGCATGTCGTCACAATAGGTGGCGTTACAGACGCAGACGGTGTCGGCGCCGGCGATGACGCGTTTGTCGCAGAGACGTCTGGCGGACACTGAAAGAGCGGAAAAGTGAGCGGAAATCGGAAATAAGAAAACGACAGACCGTTGGCCGCGAAGAGCGCGACAATCGTCGCAACGATTAATGCATTCATTTTTGGAGTTGTTTTGAGACAAGAATTGCTGCGTTTTATAGGAAGAAAACGTTCAAAAATATGTCGTTTTCATAACTACTGAGCGATAAGTCGTGGGTTTCAGACACCTGTCGAGAGATAACGGCTTTCGGAACGATTGGACGCAAATTATTGCGTAAGAATGCAATGCTTTTCATCATTAGTTACGGACTTAAGTGTTGTTTTGCTATCAAAAGAACAAAATTCGACATAATTTTCAAATACTTTTCAATCATTTCGCAGAACTTTTGTTCGAGATTTTGAATGAAAACAATTACTAAATGTCTGAAATTGAAACTAATTCTAAGGGTTTTGCAGTGTGTTTGTGCGGTCGATACCTTTAGCCGTTAGAAATGGTTGCAACAATTAAATCAAATTATACAAATTTGCCTGAAATGCAGTTTATTGTTTGGTTATAATTGTTTGGTTAAGTAATCGGTTACAATAATTTGCAATACAATATCGCGCGCATATACTAAGTTAGTATTACTCGCAATGTTTGAGAATCGCGAGAATCAGTGGTTCTGCGGAACAACAACTCTTTAAACAAGAAGACAACTCTCGAGACAATCGACGCAAAAGTTCGAGTAATTCAAGACATTATTTGTTGAAAGCATTCAAACATTTCATTCAAAATCATATGTTTTTGAAAAACTCTTCAGAAGGCTCTTCTTGTGGCCAAATGTCGCCCAAAAAGGTGAGTCCAGTCGCAGGAGACGTCCGTATTTACGCCCATTCTTCGACAGCCAAAGCCGACCACAACTGACCACAAGTTCGCCGCCGAAGAAGAGGCGAAGGACTCGTTCTCGCGATTCGGAGACGACTTATGCGAAGAGTTGTTGTCTTTGCTGTCGATTGAGGACTCGTTTCGCTGTCAATGCGTTTGTCTTCAGTGGAGAAGAAGTGTTTTTCGCCGCAAATCCCAACTCGAACTCAACGACCAGTTGTTCAGCAAATGGCAAAAAGTGGATCTCTTTGGCC